CTCACGGGTCCTTCTTCATGAAAAATATTACATAATATAGATGGATAATCTTACAATCCGAGACATAGTATGGTATTGTTGCAAGGAATTTTTTTAAATTTATTAAAATCTTAAAGAAGTGTTTTTCCAAAATGCTAATTCAATTTATTATCAATGTTCTTTAATATAACGATTTCTTTAATTTAACGATTTCATCTAAATATTGAATAAAGAATGTAAAGTTAGGATAATAAAATACATTAAATTAGTATAATAGAAATATATTAAAAATATACTTCTATTATATTAATATATACAATTTAATATATTTAAATATAAGTGACGTTTATTCAAATGTAACTGATATCTTTAAAAAAAGCTAATCTCTTCTACATTCCTATGTAAAAGCTGCAATATTTCTTATTCTTAAAATTCACATTCTTAAATTTGTAGATCTTCCAAAAGAATGATTAACACAATCGATTACAAAGAATTTTCTGTTCGTAATTTCCGCGTATTCATCGACCGCGACGAAGCGTTCGTCGTATAATAGTTTCATTTTCCATTTGTACCACCTTGCCTACTAACGCTCCAATATCTCTCGTCCCGCCGCGCTTTAATAATATTACGCATTGTTGCGAGGGCGGTATGCATGCTTGTAAATTCGCCACGGTTTTCCGCCAATTTCGCGGCTGCGAGCCAGACGTGCTCCTCCCTCTTCTTTGCCGCAAAATCGCCACGGGGTACTACTCCGCTATTTCAATTATAGACGCGAATATTTTTTTCTCGTACAACGTAGATTTACACGCATGAAACTTTTACTCGCAACGGAAAGGTGGCAAGCAATATTTTTTTAACGAATTTTGCGAATATATGAAATAGAATTGACATTGAAGGAACAAAAATAGACGAGGATTTTTACAATGAATAATAAAATATTTTTCTGAACACAATATTCCGTATTTCGAGTACGTGATGTTTGAACATGATTTTGAGCATTGTACAGTAGATAGATGTGTAGTTCTGAATTGTAAACTATTGTACCTAAAACTATCACAATACTATAGAAACCAAAATCTGTCTGAATCGTGCATGTGGAACAACAGGATCTCTCGTTAGTTCCTGTACGAAGTAAATCTACCGTTGAGCACCAAATAAGGATAGCGTCGAAACACATTGATGCAGTCGTGTGGGAAGATTGCAAAAGGGTGACTGAAGGAACTGGCGGTGGAGCGGAAAAAGAGAATGAGAGAGAAAGAGAAGGAAAGAGGAGGGGAAAGGTTTCGAGCTCTCGAGTCATTTCTCCGAGCCAACACAGACCTCTCAACTCGACGCCACTCGTGGAAACGAAATCTGATACGAGAAAAGCTAAACTCCTTCAAATGCACAAGCCGTTCTCTATTCGCCCCCTATCTACCTTCTCCCACCTATACCACTGCTTCCTTCTTCATCTCTTACCCTCTTCTCCTCTCATTTGGAGTTTTCAACTCCCTGAGCATCCTTCTCGTTCCACCGCCTCTTTCGACTCTTGCTCCTTTCAGCTACCCACTTATACTTAGTCAACCCTTTTCATTGCGAAAACGTCGTTCTGCAATTCACCATTCCTCTTCCTTCTTATTCTTCCTTCTCCTTTCTTTTAATTCTCCCCCCTCTCTCTCCCCTCCCCCTCCCCCTTCTCCCCCTCCCCTTTCTTCTTCCTTCCCCTTTCCTTTTTTTAATGCATCGTTCAAGGACGTTTCACTTCCTTGTTTGTGTTCTCTTTTTTCTCTCTTTTTTTTTACATCAGAGAAACTTCTTTCTTCAAGTTTCTTTTCTATCAATCTATTTTTGATTGAGTATTGCGCGCTCTTTCTCGAAGAGCAACTGCTTAACTTCCGGCTATTTAATCCTCTTAATTAACAGCCGGCATAAGAGTCTCAGATTTGAATTCTTTCATGGCACGCGACCTTCTTTGCAAGCAAGGAAGCTCAAGTGGAGCCCATCGCGTTTTACTTTCGTGAGTAGATCGATAAGAAGTATTTTAATGTATAAAACATCAAGTAATCTGAACGAGTAAAATAATAAATAATTATCTCCAACATTATTCTTTATACATTTTTAGCTTATCAGCATCTCTTTCGTATTTCCCTCATTATATTCTAAAATTTAAATAATTATAGTAATGTTTTTACAATAAAATGTATTTACAATATTGCACTTGGAAATTACAATTAGTATTTTATATTATATTATATTGTTAAAGAAAAACGTCTGCTGCAAAAATTTAAATATTGTATGTAATTGCAATTAAGTTTTTTAAGAAACGAAAAAGAAATTTATAAAAAAACAGGTACATTATAAAAACAGATACATTATAATATTATACGATGGAAAAATGTACTGTCAGTTTTTTAGGGATTTTAATGCTATTGTAGTGCAACTATTGTGCATTTATAGCTATTGTATTGTAATCACAAAATTTGAAAGTAAAAATTCCTTTTTTTAAAGATAAGAAAAATAAGAAAATGAACATAATCTGTTTACTTTATTTATACAAATTTATGAATCTTAATCTTATTCTTATTATTAGTATTCGTTTAAAAAAAAATAATAATGAAATTTTACTTCAATTTTTCTCAACTATTTTTTGAGCTATTACTCATAAAAATATGTAAGATTATATAATATGATGTGTATGTGTGTCCGTAATGTATAGGCTCTACATATGAGTTCACTAAACTTGACTACAGAAGAAAAGATATCTAAAGCGATGCCAAGATGATGCTGCCGCCGTACGATGTGTAAGAAAAGCTTGTTGTTTCTCTTTGCTCGATGGGTCAATAAAATTTTTTTTCTTAAACATATTTTACAATGATGATTTAAAATTATTCGCATATTCAAAGCTGTACACGCGTAAGAAATGGATTTAATATGTGAAGCATCCGAAAATTCAATAAAAGAAATATTCGTATAACAAGAGCATTAATTAATTCAATAATTTATTATTTCCGTAATTAATAAAACATTCTATTAATTTTATATTTCAAAAATTTTTGTTTTATAACAATATACAAATGCTGAGTTAATCATTTTATGTGAAATATAATAATAATAATCAAGCTCTAATTGTAACTATCATACTACGCACTGCAAAGCAATGTAATGAAATATGCTACATAATAATATATTATATATTTTATTATATAATAATAATAAAAAGATTATGCTCATGGTAGATTTAAATAAATTACACGGAGAGTTTCTTAGAAAGTATAATATGCACAATTTACATAAATATACATACATAATTAAAAGAACTGCTGTGCATTGTTAAATTCGTACTGCTAATAGAAAGAAAAATTTTCATAGATTTAATATAATGAAATATATATGTAATTGATATATATATATGTAATTGATGCAATTTATTGCGATTCAGCCACATTTAACATATCGAGCATTATTAACGATCCGCACGCGGCTTTGCAGGGATCGTTACATATTCACACGCCCTTTCGCTCTTTCGATCGATAATAATTATTCTCGTAAATTCAGGCATAAGCACGCGTATATGAGAGTTACAGGCTGGAAGCGGGGAGGATAGGAAGGACAGAATTGCCAGGCCTGCTCGGTTAAATGCTCATAATGACATCTCGTAATTGCATCGAAAGTTTCCAGAGAAACTGTAATTATCGTGCAGGCTCACTTCCAACGATATCTTTGGCCTCCGGTCGCCTGTAATCGACGGGACACTAAACCTAAAGAAAGGAAAGCTGCTTTTCTGATGGAATATTTTTCCAAGCGGGCGAGGATGACGTTATCTCGAATCGAAAAGAGGATCGAGAATTTCATAATGGAGCCTGCCAGCTTCGGATATTCGAAAAAGAGAGAAGCTTAAAAATGCGTCATTTAAAATTTTCTCTAATCCGTGTTCCAGTTAAATCAATTAGCGTTGACGAGAAGATTGTTCAAATTTCCTCATTTGTATACACTATGGTCCTTCTATTCTATTTAAAATCGCCATTTTTAATACCAGATTTTATTAAGCTCTCGCATTCATTTTGCAGTTAATATCGTGCATAAATTTCCTAGCTTTACAAATTATTATTAGCTCTTAATAGCATCGTAATGATGAATGATGATTATTTATAAATATGCAACATTTTAACATTCATTTGCTTACGAGTCTTATTTTTGTAATTTTAATGTTTTTATCGCACTGATAAAAATTAATAAAAACTAAAAAGAATAATGATAATTATAGATATGCTTTTTCTATCAATAATTTAATTTTACATTCTTTATGTAGTTAAGATTCTAGAGTCGTACTCTTGATTTTCGATTTTAATATTGAAGCAATTACATTATTTTATTTTAAATCAAGAAAAAAGTGTGTTGTTCGATTGCTTGAAAGACATGATTCCAATAGTATAAATAGACCTTGTTTGCGACGAACTATTCACTTGTAGTGATAATTACTCGAAGATTCATCGAGCCGCCACAATGATTTGAATAATTTATTCGAACGATCAACTATATTAATATTCATTATTCGGTCAATCATCAGCACTCGGATAATTATCTGCGTAAACGTTCATTATTCAGCTAAGCGAATGCGTCTGGCAATTGATTCGGTACTTGGCATACGTTGAAGCTATCTAAACATTTCTATCGTCAACAATATTGATACATGCAGCAACAACATGATTTGTGATCAGAGGTGACTAAACTTGTGTTTGGTTGAAAGATAATCATTGTGAAGCCAACGCACATATTTATAATACAGACATTGTAATAGCATAACTATGTTTTATAATATTCACTCATATTGCAAAATAATCATTTATGGTTCTTTCTTTCTTCATATTAAATTTATATTTGTAATTAATTTGCTACATATAAGTTTTAATAGTTAAAAATTTATTGTAAATATTATCATATCAATTTCACTTTTTATTTAAATTTTTAACAAACTCACGCGCGTGTGTATATATTTATAGTGATCCAGCATTACGTTTTTTAATTATTTGTCATTTACTTACCCCACTGAAGGTTTTGACGTTATGAAGAGCGTTCTGCGCTGCCAAAGCCGCTTTTCTAGTGTAAAAGGTTACAAAGCAACATCCTGTAACAGAAAAGTAATATTTTCGATTAGACGAGTGTTTAACAAAAATTTTAAATTAATTGATCTCATTCACTATATAAAAATGCTAGCAGAATTTTATGCGGTTAAACTTTTATTCGAAGATTAATTATTAGTCATTTTGTTCTTTGTCTGTCAATTTATTTAATAAAGAAAAATGTATCATTGAAAGATGTAAAAATTTTCGTTAAAAATTTTACAATTAAGTTGACGCAAAATTTTCACAATGTGCTGTAAAAAAAAAAGAGACAATAATGTTATCAAATCTCAATGCTACTTTCTGGCAGTAAGCGAATGAAAAGTTCCACACTTCGGGTCATCATACCCGATGTGGCTATCAACAAGAAACTATGATAGACACGAATGGTCGCAGAGTTCGTGTAACCGGTGACAGGTTCGATATGGAAGAGACGATCGGAGGGGAAAGACTGAAGTTGACTCTCGGGAACCTCATCAAGGACTTTCCGTATCCCTCGGTTGTCGAGGCTGGACACCATCCAAGCTTCAACCGATCGATAATTACGAATTGCCAAAAGTTTGATATGCCGTTCTATCGCTAAAGATCCGCGCCTCTTTCTCTACTGACTATTCAATCTCTGTCCTTCTTTAGTATTTTTAAGTCATTCCAGATGAATCATTAGTTTATCTATAGATGAAATAAGAATTTTGCATCAAACAGAAATCAAAAGATAGATATTGTAACTAAACATTCAGACTAAACGTCTCAATAATAATACATAAACTTATTTATCAGTTTTTTAATTTTAGTTTTAAAAATTGACATAAAAAGCTGTCAAACTGAAAAAATATATATAATCCAATAATATAGAAATCTGTAATATAATAAAATTTATATCAATTTTAATTATATTACAAATCGTTTCACTTTTACTGTACAAATGTGATAATATTTTCAATAATAAGAATAAATGTACAAATTAAAAATATGCAAAAGTAAGTATCTGCGAAGATTTTTAAAATTAAAAATATCTGAAATTTTCTTAATAATTGTCAGTACATAAAAAGTTTCATAAGATAGTAAATTATATTAACTCTGTAATTGGGTTTTTCAAATATATTAAAATTTCTAAGATTCTTTTTGTAAAATAGTAAGTATTAAAGATAATTAAGATATCATAAAGTTAATGGCATCGCAAGTTAATAACGGTCACGTTCAATTAACAGGTTTCCTATTTATGGCGTGTACGAAATTATGATAAACCTGCAACGCGGCACTGAGCATAGAGGGTGTAATTATAATGCGATCGCGGTAATAGTTTCGGTAACAAGCCTTCCAATTACTCGAGGAAATCCCGATATTCCGCAATGTTTTGTTTGGTAACGTGATATTCAATATCGCATTGAATAACGCATGGAACCGCGTTGAATGCATAATTGCGAATCGTGCAACCCGATACATAACGGAATGGTCTGGAATGTTAGAACCAACGTATTAAGTTTGTCTAATCAAAAAAGGAGTCTTGCTTCAAGCACAGCTGCATATAATATTTCATTTTAAACCCCCATGTAACTCGAGATATACAGACTGAATCTTTACTAAGGGAAATAATTAGCGGAATAATTTTCCAAAGAATTAAAGAAGATAAAAATAAACGGAAACAAATCGAATACATGAAATTAATTTTTTTGTATGTCTCGTATTTCTTTACAATATAAATTAATTAATTAGATATGTGCGTGATAAACATTAAATAAAACTGACAAAAATTAATCTTTTATGTCATTAAAGATAATTTAGGATTTTCGGAAATCGAGGTTGTTTTATTTGAAATAAAGTTTCTCGCGTGCCTTCCGTACACGCAAACGAAGGAAGTGACATTCTTAACATGGTGCCAGCAAGCTTCTATAAATTACAGCATGAAGACGCAGCCGGGAGCCGGGAAATTATATTCCGGCGAGTAAGTAATCTCAAGGCATCATCGCTTCATAGACCTTTAAATCACCGTCTGCAAACTGCCCCCACGCATCCTTTCGCCGTCCATCGACCGGGTCGCTGTAATGTCTGTGTCTACAAATGACCTCGTTCGTCAAGGTGTTATAACGTCAATCCATGTCTGCTTCCACATTATCACTGGCGAATTATTTCGTCCCTTTTCGGAATCGATTTTGAAAATATATGTAGAAGATGTCTTCCGATTATTAAAACTATCGATCATCACATTAATGTGATGACGCGCATTAAACATTTATAATTTCTTTAAATTGTGACCAGATTCATGAATACTATTTTATAATTATTAACATTTTCTAATTGCATTTAATAACTTTTTTCAATTAGATTAAAATCATAGTTTATAATTATTTAAAAATTTTAATTTTAATTTAAATTGATGTTGCAGCAATAATTATGCTAGATAAGAAAAGCTATAAATATTTTCATAATTAACAAATAAAATAAAATTATAGCAACATATCAAATAAAAAATGAAATAATTTCAATAATTTGTCAGAGCCAATGTACGCGTGAGACACAATGTAATTGTCACGATTATTCCACACGTGTCGTATGCGAATTGAGATTAATAATTAATAAGTAAATTATTAAGCTCCACGGTAACGCGCCCGGTATTCCCAAGTGTATCCGTAACATAGTCCGAATGGCGATAGTTTCTACGACTGTGTCGAGTCGCAAACCAGTGTAATTTCCTGAATTAGTTTAAACGGCATGTTTTATTCAAAGTAACTGCTTTGTCGGGTCATTTTACAGAGTGAGACTTCATCAAAGCAACGTTGTTAAATCGAAACATTATTTTAATATCTCGTAATAATACAAAATAAATAATAGCGAAACGATATTCCTAGCGCACTTTTATCAGACATTTTCACGATAAATACGTACTGGAGTGATTAGTTTATAATATATCGACACTTTTAAAAATTAATGAGACTACTCTCCAGTTACAGAAAGCTTACTCGTAATTCAGAAAGTATAATAAAATTGAGGAGAAAATTAAAGATCTCGAAACTAGGTTATAAACAAAATATACGATATATATAATACGAAATATGCGATATGAATAGCCACACGTTTAATGTCAACCACGTATGCGCAAATCGAAGAGAATTATTCATAGGGTTGAACAAAATGATCATTGTTAGGAGATTTAATGCTAATGCCAACACGATATAGATTGTAAACCAATGCGCCGAATTATTAATCAATTTATACGTTAATTCTCCGTTGTTCTCTCCCTCCAACGCCAAGGATAACTCACAATAGCAGCATGCCGAAGAGGAAAATTAGCTTGAGTTTTAAATTGAAATACGACAAAATTTTTTTCCGTATTTCGTGATTATGATTGCGGCTAGAAACAATCTCAAGAAATAACGGACACAACATCGAGAGATAAAACATAACTTAAAATTCTTTCAATTCGTATATAAACGCGAACGAATCGTTGGCATAAGCGAGGAACAAATTTAATTATGGCCTCGAATTACGCCGTCTACAAAAATCACAGTGAGCGCAAACGAACGAACGAACTAACGGGGATACCTACCATTAGGAATTCCCAATTCACGCCGTAATTATCGCTAATTGGACTCCGGATTATACTCGCGCGACACTCGTCGTGTGAAATGCTCGAGTCGTTCGAGACGCGAATTATGCATGCCCTATACGTAGGTATTTCTGATAGCTACGAAGGACATTGTGGTGCCGAAAAGCTGCATAGAACATGAAGAATTGTAAAGGGAGAATTAGTTTCTTATATCTAAAATAATTCGTTCGCACATTAAAAATTTAAAATAGCTATTTTAAATTTTCAATAAAAAAAATAAATAATAAATTAAGTCTTTTCATCGAAATTTTTTAAAATTTTCTCGAAAGTACGAGAACATATTTTTTTTTTAACTAAAGTAAGCAAAAAGGAAGGTATGAGATGCATTATATGGTCGATTGATCGTCGGTAGCCAGAAACCTACACTACCTCTCCCATGAGCTCGTGGCTAATACCTCGATGCCAATGCGTGATTAGTGTCCGCGGGGAAATCTACCGTGGACATGTTTGAGAGCTAATGCTCGTTTCTGCCTCGTGTGCCCTTTTCCGCGCCCAATACGAATGCAACTAATTTCAACGCGATCCGAATCAATAGCACTTCTCTAAAATTGTCGATGGTCATTGCGAGTAAAGATATTTCCAATTATAGTACAATTCCTGCATTCTCATCGATAGTACCGGCTGCTGTCAAAACTTTTTATTTCAGTCCTGGAATGAACTGGATTTCTTTGTGAAGATGCGGATCATAGGATCATCTAATGATACTGACTAGTGATATCTGCCGTTTTTTCCCGATGGGATGCTAGGAAGTAAGAAAAGCACCAAACGAAGCGCTGAATCAGTGAATTACGATGCTATGTCTGTAAGTCATGGCAGCGAGAATAAATTAGAATAGCCACTGTATTCCCTTCAGAATCATGGAAATATTCAGACTACGATGGATAATTTTAGAATCTCGGAAAATGTAAAAAAATTTCACATTTTAAGAGGAAGGATTATGATCACGGTCGAATTAACTTACTTCTTTATTTAGATAAATCTTCTGTTATGAGAAAAAAAGCTTTTGAATTTATTAATTATTGCAGACTTATTATTGTTTCTAGAGATAAAGTAATTCCAATTGAAAAATAAGAACAATAACATAATGTGTCGTGCATCCTCATGTGATGTAAATATCGAAATAAAAAATTTATCGCAGAAATAAAAGGAATAAAGGTAATTTGCACGCAACTACTTTATTAAATGTCTTTTCGTTATATTAATACTGTTATAATTTCAGTTTTTTTTACTGTTTATATTCATGAAATCGATGTCAGTTGAATCGATTTCTCAATGGAGTAAATAGTACAACCATATATCATAATCTACATAAAATGATTACTGTAGGAAGCAAAAAGCTTAATAACTATTTAGATTCATAAATGTAGAAGAATAATAAAGAATGAATAGCAAAGTATAAGA